ACGATTCCCCACCCCATATTCCTCAACATTGGATATGCACTTTCAATGAAAAAAGAACCCACCAGCTGAGGCCACCAACTTTTTTTTTTTTAATACATATTGCTATTGCCAGTCAAAACATCACCCACTACCTAACTCAGCTGAAAAAATATATCAGCAGGAAGGTTATATATGGTTAGCTATATAACCAACATCTCATCTGCCTCTTACATTGTGAATCAACAAAATAAAGTAAAGGGTATTACTTTTAGAGTGACCCTCGTACATATGATTACACCTAAATATAGATGCACACTGATTGTTCATAAAATGGCAACACCATGAAAGATGATGCTGATTTAGACTGAGGTACAGTATGTTCATACTCATGGGTTGTATATATTCCAATAAAATTTACTTTGTCTTTGACTACCTTGTGATGTAGTAACATTCATACCAGTGCTCCGGACGTTTAAGAGTTATATGTAAAGCATGCTCTGATAAGGTACACTGAGAAAAGAATCCAATGCAAGCAAATTGGGCACCACAAAAATTCCTTTTGTTTCAGCTACAAAACCAATTTTTGGTGCATTTTCACCAACAATGAACAAGAGGCGAGAAACTTTTTGACACGCATTGATATCACCACTTCTAAAACATTATCCATCGCCTGAGCTTCTATTTGTAACAAGGTAAAAGAAAATGTGGTAGAAAAGTGCAAAGGTACCATCAACATCTGTTTCTTAAATCATTGATGAATGTAAGATAAGAGGCATTACTTTCATAGTGACCATCATGCATATGTTTGTAATGACATGGGTACACGATATACACACACAAAAATCAACCTTGCACCTATGAAAAGTTCAAACGAGAAATATAAAGAGTCAATTGCTGATACCTCATGATGAATGAACGGAAGGATTTCTGGAGGATCCATCTGGAAGCTGAAGGTAACATCAATCAGCTAAGTGACAAATTTTATATTCTCATATATATATATATGTGTGTGTGTGTGTGTGTTGTAATGGAATGCCCAACACTCCCTATTGCCTACGTGGACTATATCAGTAGATATATAGTGTGTGTAAAGGACATACCTGCCCGACTTGCTTCAGGAATTACTAGCTTGTTAACCAATTCTTTGTGTTTCAGTAGTGTATTCTCTTTACAATAAACCTCTTTCTTTCATCTACGCCCATGTTGCTGTTCTTTTCAATCGAGTACCATCTTTTTCTGTATGTAACCATTTTAAGGATACAACTATATATATATATATATATATATATATATATATATATATATATATATATATATATATATATTATTAACTCTGAGTCACTGGCATGTTTATTCTAAAAATAAATACAAAAATTCACCTTCCTCTCTGCCAGGAGCTGATAGCTCAGAAGGAAAATCTACAACAAATGCCAAATCATTTGGGTTTCAATCCTGGTTTGAGGCAATCGAATTTCTAGCCACACTGATGAGCTGTGAAACAGTGTCTGTAGATGACACTATATACATATATCACCAGACTTATTCAACCTTGACAGAGAGGTGATCCTGAGAGAATTAGAAATCCTACCAGCATTCATTATTGGCAGCCACAGTCTTATAAGATATACAGGTGACCGTGTTGATAGCAGACATAGAAAGGAAACTGCAGGAACTCCTACAACAGCTAGTAAAGGAAAGAAGAGAGAAAAGACTAAACATCACTTGTAAGAAGACAGGATGTATATTTGTCGGCAAAAGGAATAACTCAGGTTATTAACTACAAATTTGAGATACCGAAATCACGCAAGAACAAAAATTTAGATATCTAAGTTAAGATCTCACTGAAGGCAAGTGGGATAAAGGAAAGCAGTGCATAAACTACCTAATAAATTTGGATAATGGTTGGCAGAACGGATTAAGGAAGATCTAAGAGCTGCAAAGGACAAGAAGTTGTGGAAAGCCATGATTGCTAATGTCTTGAAAGGACACGGAACATAGATGATTGAGTGGACTTTAGTTACAGTTTCTAGGAGAGAGTGCACACTCTAGAATGATCAATAGTTGAGCAAGGTCAGTAAGCACAAACCCTTGATAATGTTGATTTGTGACTTTCTGTTAGCATAAGCATTGACAGCTTTTGAACAATTGTGTTTACCCAGTTTCAATCACAAGGCTTGCATCAACTCATGGTACATCAGGCATGAAGGGTGGGAGCTGAAAATTATCAACCTGGCCCAGACCTTCTCCAAACCTTGTATCGGTAGACAGAACTAATTTTGAAATCTATGTGAAGGTCAAATTTTGAATGCTGATCAAAATAACCAAAGTTGCCTACTAGAAACAAAGCAAAGTGTTTAGACATAGGAATATTTCATTAGAAAAGAGTGCTGAATACTCAATATATAACTATTCCCAAACAAAGTAAACAATATGTTAAAATTAGCTGTCTCTATTTTTTTTTTTTTTTTTTACAATTTTCCCCCCTAATACAAGGCTCAAGAACCACTCAAGGTAGAGGGTTTACTGTGTGGAGTTGTGTTAGTATAAAAAAGGGCAAGATAACAGTAAAGGCAACTAATTCTAGACTTGAAGAGGTCAAGATTTAATTAGTGAATAAAATATCAGAGTTCAGGCAGAGATGTTAAGGAATAGAGTTGAAGCAGACTAAAAGTGATTGGAAATCCAATACATTTAAAAAAAAAAAAAAAAAAAAAAAAAAAAAAAAAAAAAAAAGGCAAGTACAGCCACTAATATGCAAGGGGATTACAAGGTGTGGAGGAATAAGAAGCAGAAACATTGGTAATGAGTAGATAGAGAAAAGACCATTCAGGAGAACACTAGATAGCGATTGACATTGCATGGAAGCAATCTTAGCAACTGACTTAAGCCAAATGGCCAGATCAGAACCAGTAACATTGCAGATTCTTCTTTAGATCTCATCAAGTAGCTCCAGGAAAATAGAAGAGGCACTGGACCATACATGGCAGCAATATTTTAAACAGATGAGTGGTAGACTTATAGATATGCAAGATAGATTCATGGACGAAGAATCGTCTTGCCTGACACAGTGTACCGACTTTCTTAGCAGCTGACCTATTAATGGATTTGATAGTCTTTCCATTTCATGTCAGCTGAAAATGTGAGCCTGAGAAGACACAATGAATCACTTTCCTGGAGGATAGTATCAATGCTGATGGAAGGCAGCAAGGGGTCTCTTAAATGATTAAGGTAGAGATGTTTAGCTTTGGAGGCGTTAAAATTAAAAAAGCCATCTTTTACCCCAGTTAACGATGGACTGGAGGTTGTTTTGTACTTCAGCTGCCATTTTGACCTGTCAGACTAATCAGCCTTAGTATCAAAGGCAGGAGTATATAGTAGTGTCATATTTGCCAAGTCGAGATCCGATATTATTAAAAAGCTAATTAATCAACATTGAAAACAAAGTAGGACCAAGGATGGAACCCTGGGGGGGGGGGGTACATCTGTATTAGTACGAAAGGATGTAGATGAGTGGCAGTTCAGGACAACTTTTATGTCATGATTTGATAGGAACAACTGGATCAGCTGAAAAATGTGCCCAGAGAAAAAGGGATGAACTTCTACTCCTGTTCAAAAGACTGGAGAGGCATGTAAACCAGGCGATAGGCAAAACGCATCTATTTCCATACAGGAAACATTAAGTATTCATTGACTGGACAGTTAGGGCTACTGCCAGTTGAAATATCTATCCTCCTGTATTGCAATGAATGCTATTTCCTTATGATGAAGTGAGTTAAGGTGACAGAGATGTGGTTCTATAGACAGATGCTGAGAACGCCATGGACAGAATTTGTGAGCAACAAGGAAATTCTAAAAAAAAAAAAAAAAAAAGGTAACTAGAAAGACACTCATACTTAAATTTAGAAAGAGAAATTTCTGGGACACATTATGAGGAAAGACAGCTTGGAAAATTCAATACTCACATGACATTAAAAAAGGTGGAGTAAAAGGAAACTGCGAACAACTTAATGAATTTGTGCAAATGGATGACAAAGCAGGGACAAGGAGGAGTGGTAAAGAATCAAATGTTGCTTAGATCTACAAGAAATTAGAAGTTGTGGATTGCTTAATCATCAGATTAGTAACAATAAATGTAAATGTAATTGTTGAATGTCGTCAACACAAATGTCCATTTAATTTGATCTCTGATTGTGATTTATGAAACCAGATCTCCAATCAAAAATGTTTAGTTAATTATTGACATTTTCTAAGATTCACTTAACATGGCACAAACACACCTTTTGGCAAGAACTTAGAATCCAACTGCATTCTCTTTAGAGGGATAAAAGTTCTACCAAAATGTGGACACCTAATCACTTGCATTTAAAGTTTAGCTTACAGACTAAAATATAAATTAAATACCAAAAATTTACCTATTCTAAAACAAAGTTTTTGGTTGATAGACTGCTAAACAAAGGCAATCAACCACAATGGGTTGTTTCATGCAGAAATTAAATATTTTGCATGCAATTTTGCTTTTTTTTTTTTTTTTTTAGATAATGAATTTTTAGTGAAGCAAGCCTTACTAATTAACCCACAGCTGGAGGAAGAATGAGGTAGATTCATACTTTTCAGAAGAATATTTGCAAATAACGGAATATAACAAACCCAGATAGCTCTCTAATTACCAATTCTGAGTGATTATCCATTACACCAACTGCACATCCAAGCTTATAGCACCTGGTATTCCAAAGTGGTCACCCATCTAAGTATTAACCAAACTTGATGTTGCTTAACTTAGGTGACTGAATAGGAACCAGTGTTTCAATGTGGTGTGGCTGTAAGCAGCCAAAACAAAGTAAATAGTAATGATAAAATTAGTTTATTTCCATGCAGGAAGCATTTAATATTCAATGACTAAACAATTCATGTCACTGTCGGCTGAAATTTCAAACATTTTTTAAAAATGTTTTACAGAAGAATCAGACTTCTAAAGTCCACTAAATATTATAGCACTTTTTAATATTGAAGGGAGTTTCCTTTCAGTAAGACAAAGGAGAAGGAAAAGCAAAGAAGAAGAAGAAGAAGGAGGAGGAGGAGGAGGAGGAGAAGGAAAAGCAAAGAAGAAGAAGAAGAAGAAGGAGGAGGAGAAGGAAAAGCAAAGAAGAAGGAGAAGAAGGAAAAGCAAAAAGAAGAAGAAGAAGGAAGAAGGAGGAGAAGGAAAAAAAGAAGAAGAAAAAAGAAGGAGGAGGAAGAAAAAGAAAGAAAAGAAAAAGAAGAAGAAAAAAAAAAAAGAAGGAGGAGAAGGAAAAGCAAAGAAGAGGATTTAAAAGAAAAGCAAAAAGAAAAAGAAAGAAAAGCAAAGAAGAAAAAGAAAAAAAAAGAAGAAAAAGAAGGAAAAGCAAAGAAGAAAAAGAAGGAAAAGCAAAGAAGAAAAAGAAGGAAAAGCAAAGAAGAAGAAAAAGAAGGAAAAGCAAAGAAGAAAAAGAAGGAAAAAAAAGAAAGAAGAAAAAAAAGGAAGAAAAGGAAAAAGAAAAAAAAAAAGAAAGGAAAAAAAAGAAAAGAAAAGAAAAGAAAGAAAAGAAAAGAAGAAGAAAAAGAAAGAAAAGCAAAGAAAAAAAAAGAAAAAAAGGAAAAAGAGGAAAGAAAAAAAAAAAAAGAAAGAAAAGAAAAGAAAAAAAAGAAGAAAAAACAAAAAGAAAGAAAAAAGAAGAGGAAAAGAAAAGAAAAAAAAAGAGAGGAAAAGAAAAAAAAAGCAAAGAAAGAAAAGAAAAGAAAAAAAAAGAGGAAAAAAAAGAAAAGAAGAGGAAAAAGAAAGAAAAAAAAGAAAAGAAAAAAGAAAGAAAAAAAAAAGAAAAGAAAAGCAAAGAAGAGGAAAAAGAAAGAAAAGCAAAGAAGAGGAAAAAGAAAGAAAAGCAAAGAAGAGGAAAAAGAAAGAAAAGCAAAGAAGAGGAAAAAGAAAGAAAAGCAAAGAAGAGGAAAAAGAAAGAAAAAAAAGGAAAAGCAAAGAAGAGGAAAAAAAAGAAAAGAAAAGCAAAGAAGAGGAAAAGAAAGAAAAGCAAAGAAGAGGAAAAGAAAGAAAAGCAAAGAAAGGAAAAAATAAAAAAAAGAAAAGAAAAGGAAAAAGAAAAGAAAGAAAAAAAAAGGAAAAAAAAGAAAAAAAAGAGGAAAAAGAAAGAAAAGCAAAGAAAAAAAAGAGGAAAAAGAAAGAAAAGCAAAGAAGAAAAAGAGGAAAAAGAAAGAAAAGCAAAGAAGAAAAAGAAGAAGAAAGAAAAGCAAAGAAGAAAAAGAAGAAAGAAAAGCAAAGACCAATTTTGCTGTACAAGAAAATCAACCAACTCATCCCTGATGTTGGAATACTGAAGGCGGTTTTTAACTCGCTATCCTAATCTAATGCTTCTGTTATTTATTTATAGATACTTGATAAAATAAAAAGAAGAGTCTGCAATGTTATCTCAGCTTCAGTCACTTTCCCCACAGCCATAAAGAAACTTCCTAGTGCCTCTACTACGAATACTTTCATGGTAATTATTCTACAATGTTTTCCAATTTGATACCTTCTTTCATCTACCTTGTCCCTTCAGAATGTTGGGGATCAAGGTAAACAACAATTTACTGTCTGTTGTAGCTCTTAATAAATTTTTTCTTTTTGTTATTTCTCCTGAACTCTCTTCCAACATCTATTTACTGGGTCCATTGCTCGGGCATAATGTTTCTGACTCAAGAAGTTCAGCTGTTTTGATTACTAGGCAACAACCTAATTTAATTACTCTATATTGATTGACTCTTGGGTCTTCAATTGGGTATTAAAAAATATAAAAAAAAAAAAAAAAAAAAAAAAAAAAAAAAAAAAAAATCCCTTCTGCAGATATCTTTATTGAATTCGAGAAATTCCCTGATGTTCATAGTAATTCCTGAACTGCACTTCTATAAAGGAATCTCACTAAGAGAAAGTGGTAAAATCCTAATAAAAGATATACTGTTTAGTAAAGCACAAGGCCAATGGAGAAGAGTACTACATTTCGTACACACACTGACAAACATTCGTATGTAAATGTATTCATTTAATTCCCTTGTTTTAGAATATTTCACTTGATAGTCGTATGAAAACAGCAACTGATCTAAGGGAGATAACTGGAGACCAACCAGGCCAAATAAGACGTGGGACAGGCTTTAGTGAGTCAATAAAAAGTGGAAATTATTAATATCATTTACATCCGGACTCCTCATCCCAGAAAAATTTGAAACACTTCTACTCTAAAAGTTCTTGATCGATTACAACACATAGAACCTATCTTGAGAAGAATTGATGTTAATTTTTTTTTTTTGTTATGGCTTTTGTCAGTCTGTGGAGTGTGCTACCAATACCTGATATGAGGGGTTCTATTGCCATGCCCCCTTTGTGTTTTCAAGGAAAATAGATATAATACAAACTCATATAAGTCCCTTTATACTAATGTTCCTATTAACAAATAATAGGACTACAAAATTCAATTAAAAAAAAATAAATAAATAAAATTAAAACAAAAAACAAACTTTTGCATTATTAATATGAAAAAAAAAAATAAATAAATAAAAATTTCCCCCCCCCCCCCCCAATGTAAAAATTTTATTTTTTCCTTCTTAGAACCTTTGAAATTTTGATTAAAAAAATCTTGATGAAATTTGAGCATTTTGTGGTGAAAAACACTGATTTGGGAATTCTTACAAAAATCAGATAATTATTGGATTTTAATGAAACTTTCTGGACTTATTCAGAATTTTTTTTTTTACATCTGTTAAAACATCCATCACACACATAATTTTATGAAATCCTTTTTTTGTAGTGCTTAATGTTTATATTAGTTATAAGAACAAGTCATTGGAGAATTAAACAATCAAATGATTTTGCTCAAACTGGTCCCCAGTTATAGAAAATCTGCCCTGAATTGTAAAATAAAAGATATGTAATAAAGACATTATTTAATTAGAAAAACTTACTTTCTTTTATGAATAAGATATATATTATGGACACTATTGTCTTAAGAAAAAAATTTAAATGATTAATAATTTTTACAAGAATTGTTTCTATTTTTTTTTTTAAATTCTAAATTAGAATAATTTATAAACTTTTAAATCTTAAAATTCTGTATTAATTTGTAATGATCAAGTGATATTGTTATTAAAGTAAAATTGTATTTACTGATCATAAATGGAAAAGCTTACTACAATTCAGCTACACCTAATATTTTAAAATGGATTTTGATAACTATAGTAAGTTTAAAATTTGTAATATTCTAACATTTCCTCAAGAAATGTCTTCATAAATAAAGCTATAATACCAAAGTACCTAAAATATAATAAAATATTAGAATACTTACACTATTTTAATTTTTTTTATGATTACTATGTAGTTAAAAAGTGATATAAAAAAGGGTTTATATTATATTTCTTAAGTAATATTTATGTATTGCTAAGTTAAATTTATATAACTTCATTTTTTGATAGAACTACCAATGCCTCAAAAACACCAACCAATATTAAGTTTTTTTTGTGATATTTTAATCACAAAGTAATATTTGTTTCAATTCAGATTAATTATACTTTATATCAGTGCATCTTCCTCAAATAAACTTTCAGAAAAATACATTTTATTTTTGAAAGATTTTTTTTTTTTAATAAAGAGAATTATGTTGTGATCACAGATTTGTCAATATGTAAATTCTTTACCTCTTGCTATGATGAAAACCATGCACGAATATAAATTACAGAATGTTCTGTTTGCATTTTAGGCTAAAAATAACTTGATAACATTATTGGAACATTCTAGAAAATTCCAATTTAATAATATAGAGTATTAAAGCAATTTAAAATTTTAGAATCTGAAATTTGCATTGTATGAATACTTTTTTCACCCATTAAAATAGATAAATAGGATTTATTTCTATTAAATCAATTTTTTTTGTTTTCTATGCATATTTAGTTATTATGGATCTGTATACAGTTAATTATATGAAAAGCATATTTATTTAATAGTTGGAAATACAATAGATAAAAATTTGTATGTGTACGAATATTGTTTTCCCCCATTGCATATATATATAATTCCAACAAAAGATTTCCCCAAGTTATTATTCTTCCAAATAAAACAGATAGCATCTTGGTTGGAAGCCATCAAACATGCATGCATATCTTAAGTTGAATAATGCAATTAATAGAAATTCTTCTGTAAACATGGAATGTATCTTTTGCCCAGACAAACTTGATATGGAGCTGAAGTCGTTGGTTGCCAAAAATAATTAGGCTACTAGTTTAATAAATAATTTATCTGTTGTCAAATAAATGCACTACTTATCTGATAAAATCTAAATGGACATTTAATTTTTATAAAACCAAATTCTTTTGTCCTCGTCATGAGATGATTCATCTGTTACCACTTTCATCATTTGATTAAAAAAAAACAAAAGTGAATTCCTGTTACTCCCCACCCTTCACAGTGGTCAAAAAATTGCCCAGTCCCTATGACCACTTTCATGCTGACATTTATATCGACCAACCCTCCTCTTTAGTGCAATGAGAGAGGTGCTGCTGTATAGTTGGAATACAGGACTCCTCAAAACTTTTTGAGAAATGTCCAAAGACAGAAACACAACAAAAGGTGAAGAACAGATATTACACTTTGATCCCTGACTGAAAGGTGGGTAAAAGTGGTCAGAGCAGGTGTCAATTCTAACTGGACAAAGTCCTGCTCATTTGGAGCAATTTTACCCTGACAATTTACAAATTCTTGTTGGTCAAAATTTACTAGTTTATTCAAAATTTAAAAGGTATTTTAAGTTAAAAATCAGAATAGGGATTGAAGGTTTCATAAGTGGTCATAGAAAGGAATCATTACAAAAAAACACTCAAAATAAAATCACATATGAGAGGCAACTTTCTCAATCATGTATCTCATTAATCTACTGGAATATCCCGACTTTTGTTTAAATAAACAATTCAAAACCAACAACTATTAAGAAAAAGGAGACATCTTAATTTTACATCAAAATCTTCAGAGTTCAGGACTTGTTATCTGAGAGAGAATTGATGACTTGATTTTGTCTGATTCTCTTCAAATAGGTGGATGTGCAGGTGGTGTAATTATAGCAGCTTGAAATGAGTAACAAGTACTAAAAAAAAAAAAAATTAGCTTTCTTACATTCACATGTAAATACCCTTGATAAAGGTATGAATCCACCTACTCCCCAGATATGGGTTAAATAGTATGAATTTTATCTCTAAAAATTATTATTCTCAAAAAATTTTAATGCTATATTCACCAGCAAAAAAAAAAAAAATATTCTTCAATACAAAATTAAAAGCTTTAAATATCCTATAAATGGTTGATAACCTATAAAAATCCAAATCAAAATAATCTCCATATAGACTGGTTTCAATTAATATTCCCCACTTACAGTTCAGGATGAATATTTGATTTACGATCATGAGTCACATGAAACTCACTAGAGTCATACAGGCACCACATGTAGTTGCAGGCACAGTATAGGTGGTGTTTCTTGGGTAGATAGCCCGATGGAGCTCAACCCTCTCCAGGCTGGTTTGAATTTAGAGTTTTCCTTCTCTTAGACTGGTTTCCTGCAAAGGCTATAGAATGCAGTCTACCCTGTTATTTATCCATAGTGGGAAAGAGATGGATTTATTACTTTCCCAAGGGTATTAGCACACAAGTGAATGTAATGAATTTGACTGAATTCAAACTCAAATCCTCAATCCAAAAACCACAATCCATTATGCCACCATGCCTCCATCATGAATGTCTGATTATCCAATATCAAATTTTCAGGTTAATAATGGGGATAAAAGGTTGAATAGATATCAAGACAAGATAAATATGTAGTGACTACTACTATGTTTGCCATGCGTACATTTTCACAACTGTGATTGGTTAAATAATAAATACTGATTATCACAGGACAAATTACTGATCGTAGTCACCACACTGAATGTTTCCTACCGTTAATTCACAAACATGCTTTTGTTATAAAATTTTTCATCAATCAGATATTTTTTGTGTTCTTTCAAAATTCTCCGCCTTTGTTCTAGGAGCCTACGGTAATTATAAAAGCGGGTTTCATTGAAAAAATAGACAGTAGAATTCAACTCACTCGCATCTACACAGACTATTCATTCTACTCACTTGAATACACACAGACACAGAACTTGAATTACATTTCACGATCAGTTCTTTGTGAGAAAGCCAAGTTACCAATAACGCTGTTACAAATAACACACAACTGAATTAACTGTATGTTCTTCTGAATACAACATTCTATTTCAA